AAAAAAAAGATAAACTGAGTGTCTGCGACAAAAAAATATACCACTTCCAAATTGTATTTAACTTGCAAGCAGAAAAGTTCTCCATTTGCTAATGATTAATTGCCTATATTCTATATATGATGATCAGAGTGAAGTAGAAAAACTAGAGACGGTCACATGAGTCATTTTTAAGAAAAGCAGAGGAGGGTTTCAATCTCTAGACCCAAAAAGTAAAAAAGATGCCCTTATACAACAAATAAAAAATAAACTTAGTGATTAAAAAAAATATTTTGTGGTCATAAACTAAAGAAAAAAATCTTAAAGCCAACTTGACTATAAGCCTTTTCATTTAAAATGACCAAATTAAAATGCTTAGTTGACAGCATCATACAGTAACCAGTTTATTATAGAAAAGAAAAGAACATGAGGGGGACTAGAATGATCAGTTTCACTTTGTGATGATCCGTCATGCTGCGTTTATATAAAATACACTTGGGTTTTTGGTCATAAGGTGAAAAAGAATGCAAAATATGTTTAAAAGAAACTTAACATGGTGCTAAGGATATGAAGAAGAAGCTCACCTCTTAAAGCAATACATAATGGAATACACCTCTATAAATTATTGACGTGCTTCACACTGACAGTTTTGTATTTTAATGCAATGAGAACTAGGGATCTTCTGATCCGATATTAATATCGGATATTGGTCCAATATTAGCCAAAAAACCAAAAAGGATTTTATCGGCCGGCATCTAAAGTCTGATATTTCCAAGCTGATAGAAACACTCTTCTTCTGTTAAAGTTTCTATTACTCATCAGATGACTTTACATGGGTCAGTTGTTTTCACACCTTTTGTTGTTGAGTTTTGTTCCCTGTTTCAGTAATATTACTTGATCAAGCCTTTTCTAGCATTGTACAGTATAATATAAGTAATAAATGCTGGTATGATTAGCACTATCGTATTAGCCAATTCTCAAAGCTGCAATAACAGCATCGTATCAGATATGAAAAAGTTTGGGAAAAACCCTAATTAAAGAGTTCACCTTACTTTGGTCATTGAGCTCTTAAGTTTTTTCAGACAAAGGGCCAGAAGCTCCCTGGATTCCAGAGCACACTGCACCCAGGTGGCTGGAGGCTGCAGGTAGCTGCATCAAAGAAAACATGAAAAAGGTTTTACACTGCAACAGAAAGCATGACTTTTTTTTTTTTTTATCATTATGCAGATGGCGCCTATAAATCACTGAATACATATGTGAAACGAACCGTTCACACTGTTTGCAGAAGTGCACCGTGACTTGCTTAGGGATCCCCTCTGAGATGTCGACCTGAGTGCGCAGGCAGGCTACACACATGTTGGCAGGGTTAGGAGGAATGGGCACACCACAGGTACAGCACAGGCTGTGGAGCAGAAAAATATTGTTAAAGCTAGAAAAGAACAAGAGCTGTGCTGATTTAGGACACTTAAGAACTGGAAAACACACCGGACCATGAAGGTAACAACAGCCAGCAGATACTTTATGGGTGGGGTTTAAGATGAACAGAAATATCTAGAATTGTTTTTCTTCTTTGATTTGTTAATACATTTCTCCTTTTGGTTAAATCAACACTTTTGTAGCATTTTTTATTATAATGTTATATATATATATATATATATATATATATATATATATATATATATATATATATATATATATATATATATATGGAGAGAGCAAATGTTATGTTGGCTTTGTGAGGGCTAACTATTTATTTCCATCTAAACTCAAAACAGAAAAATTACATTGTGATTTTTTTTTTTAACTGTCCAATAACAAACGAAGCACTAAGTATTTTAATAAAAAAAATGTACAAAAGGTTTTTTTTTTTAATTTTAAATACAAAACGTGTTTTGTATGTTTGCCTTATTAGAGGAAAACCATACAGCTAGAAATTTTATTGGACTCAATACAACATAAAATACATCATATTGAGCCCTCTTTTTGGTATATAAATATAACATTTAAGCGTTTTTTTTATGGCTACATTACAAAAACTGTATGGCTTATTACAATAACTTAGATTTCCTATTTTAAGGTTACTTTAAATTTAGAAGATCAAATTTATTGTTATTTCGGTTCAAAAATTTTGTCGAACTTCGGCCCCTCTATTATCTTATTTTGAGAGACTGGATGCCCTCCCTCGAGACTGAAAGTAACACAGGAACTGGCTCTGCTGTGTATGTGCCTGTGCCCCCGGCCCAGCGGCCTTGGTGGTCCCTTCTGGTTTTGGCTGTTGACAGTGATTGTCAATTTGGACAGTTTTAAATATCCTTGTCCTGTTTTGGTTAGTGTGCCCATGCCTGTACGGATTCTTGTTTATATGCTGTCCACGTTTTTGAGTTCTGCCTCGACCTTCCGGGTTTTCATGCTTGTGGTTTTTCAGCTGTATAATTAATAAGATCACCTTAATTTGTCAGTATTAAAATTAAACAAGCTTTGTACGTTTGCCTTATTAGAGGAAAACCATATAAAGAAATTTTATTGGACTCAATAAAACATAAAATATGTCATATTGAGTCCTCTTTTGTTATATAAACATGACATTTAAGCGTTATTTATTGCTACATTAACCCATCTTATTACAATAACTTAGATTCCCAATTTTAATATTACTTTAATTTGTCAGTATTAGAAATTTTAAGTCTCCATCTACATCAACTACCTGTTTAAGAAGCAACATTTGTACCATTCCTACATCTTTTAATGGGGCGTTGAATCACTGGTGACACCTCATGTCTTGAAAAAGTAGAACCTTTGATGGTTGTCATTTTTCCCCCCTAACGAATCGGGATTCACTGACAGCTGGCATGAAAGCATCAGTAGTCTGGGGTTACTTACATGTTCCCCTGGCTGCTGGTAGCAGGAGCTTGCATGTACTCCATCTCTCAGGTTGACATATGACAGCAGAACCCCCTGATCCCTGCTAACAGAGTAGGGAAAATTTAGCCAACCAAAAAAAAAAATTATAATAATTATATATATAAATAAAAAAGAAAAACAAAAAAAAAAAATATCAAAATTTCACTTTAACACACAAACTTAGTCCATACCCGTAACTAATAACTGTTATATAGCACAACACTCCATCGAACACATGAAGTTTTTCCGAGACTTAACATGATAGCGACCTTAGAAAAGCTGTTAAACTCGCTAGTGGTCTGGATTTAACTAGCATAAGGTTAGCATTTAAGGCTAACGTACTAATGTTCCCAAGCAATTATACAGGAAAATAACAAAGGAATAAAGTGAAACGGACAGGGGAGCATCCTCTTCCATTTGATTATAGCAAACTGTTGGCTGACAAACAAACAACAAAACCTATATCAAAAATAAATCCGTAGAATACCTTGTGATAGAGCCTTCCACGTTTTCGCTATCGAAGACCGAATAGGGAGGCGTCAGAAAGGACCCCGACAGAAGACGTAGCTGCCTTAGTTATGCCTGAATAAATTTCATTTACAGCCGTTTATTATTAAAATTCCTGTATTTGAGAAAGGTAATATAAATCTTGAATAAAAAATATTAAAAAATATGTTTCATTTTTTGTAAAATAAATTTAGTTATGTTAAACTAAAATACTTACATTTTATAAAGTTAATTTTATTAAATTATTCAGCACTAAAACATAGAAAGCGATATAAATTGTAACTGAAAACTGCATTTGACCATTTCAATAAGTATATAACTTTACTTAATTACTGACAAAGATATAAAAAAATGAATATCAGTAAGAGTTAACGTTGTTATTTTATGCAGTTCAACATAATGGGATAAGAGGACAGTTTGTAAAACCATTGCCAAAAACATTTGGGATGTTCTGCGTATCTCTTCAGTAATCTTTTTTGTCATATAATTACAAAAAGTCTAGTCCCAAAAGTTCAATAGCGTGGATGCACCTGTCACGGGCACTCGTTTGGATGCCTTCAGGTGTGGTCGGAAATAGTTTAACCGTTTGGATTTGTATTGTTCAGCTTGTTGGTTGTGAGAAAATATTTGAGCAGCGATTGCAAGGTTGTGTATTTTGAGAGAAATATGAAGCTTCATTAGGCTATTATTTTCTTCAAATCTCTCATAGTGCGTTATTTTTAAAACGTTCACTTCCATTTAGATTTTTTCCCCGTTTTTTTCTCGGTTTTGTTGTCCATGGGGTCCAAGGGGAATACAATCCCCCCCCCCCCAGGAAAATACAGAGCGAGATTCAGATACTTTAAAATAGAAACTTAAGGTCTTGAACAGTAATGAAAGGAATGTCATGTGTGATAGTTGGTAGCTGTTTGACACACAAAAAATATATAGACCTAAAAAAAAAATACACAGGGGCAAAAAATATTTATTTTAAAGCCAATGTGTGTATAAACAAAATGTTTTAGTTAATTGTGTCCAAGGGAAACACGGGGGCAGCAGTAACACTCTGAAGGGGAACCAATATACAAACATTTAAGATGATAGATCCAGAATTCATGCTAAATTCATGCTCTTTTCAGAACTAAATTTTGAATTATTTGGGGTGAAGATAAAACTATGTGCTTCTGCAAGTCTGCAAGTCTTCAGTGAAATCATAGATAGATAACTACTTTAACAATAACCTAAACATTCCTAAAATGTGGATATTAGTAGATTTCAATTCCATATTTTGTCCAATATACCTTTTATTTACACAGCGTAGATGTTTTAATATATGTGTCTATTTGTTAGCAAAGGCTGCAGGAAAGGATAGTTTGTCTTTATTTAGAAAATATGAATGTCGTGCTTGTTCCTGTTGGAAAAGTGTAGATTGACCCTGAGGTTCTGGTGCCTTTCGGCCACCCTTCAATATGCATTGGTTATTGCCTGGCCACCCCTATTAGGAGTTTCTTTCACTACGCCTCTGCGTGGCAACATTTAAAATACATTTTTTTATTTTCAATGGACACGAGGGTACCAAAAGGAATGGATTTAAATAGTCCAAGAAACATTCCGAGCAGCACCTGAAGGCATCACCGTGGTTTATAGCAGCAGTAACATAAATTCACAGTCAGTGTGGGCACTGGCGACTTTAAAGGGGCAATACTTCCAAGACTGGGAACTCTGCTTGAGCTGTTTGGAGGAGACCTTCTTGTCGCGACTTTCTTAATTTAAGTAAGCTGAACTTTCAGCCTAATTTAATTCTTAAAGCGTTTTTTTTTTCTGTGTTGATAGGGCGCAGTAGATGGTAAGCCCACAGCCGTTGGTGGCTCAGCCCCGCGCGGCTACATGCTAGACAGAAACCACTGGAGGATCCCGTCTTTCCCTGTTTGCTCCCTCTGTATGCACGAAATGCTCTAAAAAGTATAAAATTTTAATCTCTTTGCATTTTTTGTTAAATGTGCTACAACAACAGCAATGGAGTGAAAGAACAACACAGCGACCTGGCGTGGTTTTTCCCTGAGCTGCGTGTAAACAAATAGATGATAGAGGATACGATGACCCTGCTGTCTCTCTTGGGTAGGATCATGCGTTATTTTCTGCTCAGACCGGAGACCTTGTTCCTGCTGTGCATTAGCCTTGCTCTGTGGAGTTACTTCTTCCACACGGATGAGGTGAAGACCATCGTCAAGTCCAGCCGGGATGCTGTCAAGATGGTGAAGGGAAAAGTGGCGGAGATGATGCAGAACGAGCGCTTCGGCGGACTGGACGTCCTGGATGCGCAGTTCTCCAAGACCTGGGAGTTCAGGAGCAACAATGTGGCCGTGTACTCCATCCAAGGCCGGCGGGACCACATGGAGGACAGGTTCCAGGTGCTCACCGACATCGTCAACAAGAGCCATCCGTCCATATTCGGGGTGTTTGATGGCCACGGAGGAGAGGTGAGTCTTTATTTCTGTCTTTATATCTTTAAAGCATCTTCCATCAGGTTCTCTCTGTGCGAAACACATGTGCACTGCAAAAAAAAATAAATCTAAGTTAGTTTAGTTAGCATTTCCTTGAATTAAGCAGTTAAGTGATACTTTCCCAATGTAATAAAGCAATTTACTTTCAAAATAAGAAAAAAAACTCCATAATATCTAATTTTCTAATGTGTTATTTATTTTAAGACTAAAAATGCTCATTCCATTGGTAGATCATCTTATTTAACTGCTCAAATTAAGGGTAAATCCACTTAATTTAAGACATTTGTACTCATTTTTAGAACGTTTTTTCAGGGTGTCAGCTCCACTAACGGGATTTCAAGATGATTCGATTCCTTATCGATTCCCGCATCGATTCTGTGAAATGATTCGATTCCTTATCGATGAACTCGGTAAGTGCATAGTGACATTCGTCTACCTTCGCCTGGGACATTCTATTTCCGTCTGCCGTGGTGAAAACAGAATGCAGTGACCGGGAGCTGCCAGCCTCTGAGCCAGCCAGGCTACCCGTCTCTTTACAGTCATCTAAATCTAATGGAGAAGGCATCCGTTTAATGAAAAAGCATTTCTGTGCAATTTCGGGAAATAAAATCATCTCCCCCTGACTTAAATAAACGAGCGTCACCTTGATCTTGCTCCCTGAACTGCAGAGCAACTTCGTAGGTAGGAAATTGGTTTATTTCCAGAAATGGCATTTGATTTACTAGGAGCCACATTAAGCACAGCCAGTGATTTAAAACTAGCTACTTACCACCAGAGTTGCCTTCCATGCTGGTCGTATCACTAGCTTCTGTCCGGAAGCATCAAAAACACGGCTTTCGTTACAATGTATGCCGTGTTGTGTGCGCAGGTGTTTCTGCATGTTGGATGCATTGCCTCCCGTAGATGTTACTGCCACTTTACATCTAAACTTTCGATCGGTTTAACCCGATGGGACACCATTTTTTTTGTTTTGCTTTTCTAGACTTACGCCTGGTCACGTCGTACTTGCTTATTGAATGCAGTGTGCGTAACTTGCGTAAGAAACATGACATAAGCCGTGCTGCCCAGTGCTAGGCTCTGGTGCTGCCTGGAACTGTTAAGAGAACTGTTAAGCGAGCTGCCAAAAGGTGCCATGGAATTGGAACACACGGAACCGGTTCTGAACAGGAACCGGTCTTTGATTCCCATCCCTACTTAAGCTGGTAGATTCTGTTGGGATTTTATGTGACAAATCTACAGTTTGATGCATAGCTAATAGGGAAGTGGAAGAACAATGGATTTCAAAGAAGTTGCCTAAAGGCCTTGTATCCATAATATGTAGAAACTAATTTACTGACAGCACGTAAGGTGCAGGAGTTAGTCCTGAACCAGGAGTGTCTGCGATTTGAAAACCTCAGCTCCATCCGTCTTGTGTCCTTTGGCAAAACCCTTCACCTGCATGGTGGTGGGCAGCATTGCTTCTGTCAGTGTGCCCCAGGGCAGCTGTGGCTGCATACAGGTTGTGTAAACAAAACTTGTCCCTATCTTATCTCATACTCATTTATCTTGAGGTCATGAAATGAACTTTCTAATCTAGTAAGCAAATCTTCACCCTAAAGCACTGCGTTTTAGCTCTGACCCTAAATGTGAAGGGATTGTTTCAGGATTGCACTGTACACTATTCTTCGTATCACCTCTAACCAGCCTGAAGAGAAGCTTAGCACAGCATGACTGCTGCAACATTGTACTCCACTGGGGATGGTCTATTTAAGGTTATGTCTTGTGCTGGTTGATTTCAACATTTTCATTTATGTTTTCACCACAAAGTTGGAATTCGATCCTAACCGTACACACAGGACTTTCTTTTATATGCTTTCCAAGTCTCCTGCATAGCTTGTGGCTCACTTATCTCCATGGGGCAGTTTGTTCATAAATATTTTCGACTATGCATTTGTATTTATACTGAATCTGAATTATATACAGGTGAACCTTATTTACTCGTTATATGACAGGTTTCCATGTATAAGAAAGAAAGAAAAAAGAGCTGAAAACAGCTTCTTTCATCTCCTATTTAATAATTAGGTGAGATCTGAAGGCAGTTTGGTTCCACAGGGTTTTATTTGGGCTGTTGAAGTGAATGGGGCTAAACACGAATGCATGCCACTCTTCAATTAGTACAAAATCTCTATGTATCATTTGCCTTCAGCTTGCAGTTCCTCTCTACTTTGAGTTGGCTTGTAAAATGAAATCGGATGCAATGCATTAAAGTTTGTGGCTACAGTGTAACCAAATGAGAAAACTTCAAAGGTGTATAAACACTCTTTGAAAAGCTTTGTAGCTGATATTTAGTTTGTCTCTGAGTGAACTTATACCCCATTTTTAAATCCAGTGAATGTTCATTTGATTCAATCTAATGAGGCTTATGCAATGTGACAGGATCGGCAGAATAAATGATGAATCTAAAAGAGACAGTGGCTTAAGGTAAGGACATGTGATCAAATTTTTGCTAAGTCAGCTGAAACATTTCCAGGAACATTTCATGTAAATTTTTTACATTGTTAATATGATCCTAAACTGTTAAGGTGAAGTGTCACAAAACAGTCGGGGCCCCTAAGGAATATTGGTAATCCTGTTTTTTCTTGGTGCATATTTGCCTATTAATTTCCTGATTAAATCAAATCAAACCAGTTTTTTTTTTTATATTTTCTCACCAAAACATCTCAGCATGGTCTCTAAATATATTTTTATAGGTTGACTGCTAGACACCAGAATAAAATGTACCAGATGTGTTGTTGTTGATTCACAGCATTTCTGATCCAAATTTAAAAGAGACTCTAGTGTGATCTGAATCAATTGAGGTAATTGAGAGAAGGGAGGGAGAGAGGGAGGAAAAAAAAAACTGATTCACTACAAGATCCTTTAAAACAGTTGTTTCGTCTGGGCTCACAGCTGACTGCACTGATGCATAATATTGTCTAATACAAAAAAGAATTCATTTGATCTTGTCTCTTCAAAGTCTGCATTAGACATGACAGAAACCCCATCTTCTCTGAGGTCCACTGTGACCTTGCAGCGTTTTTCTTCGCTCTTATTGTTGACTTCATTGCTGTGGTCCAAAGCACGACAATAACAGGCTAAAAATAGCCAGTAATTGGCGTTAAAGTTACCTCTTTTAGAGTAAATTCAATTGCGTGGTTGCAGCATGTCCCTCTGCAGATTTTGACCAAAAGTGGTCAATTGGTTTTCCTCCTCTTTTTCTTCCCCCTCCCTTCTCTGCCATTTCCAGCCTTTCCTCCTATGAGTTCAGTTTTAAAAATCTACTGAAATAGACTTCCTTTAAGGTCTATGCAGAGTTTAGCCTGTTTTCATGTTCGTATCCTTGGTTTGTGAAACCAATTTGTGAAACAGGTTTATATATTTGGTAAATCTGAATTAATTTCCCTGATAAGTATTTTGAATAAACTAACAGTGATTTTATGCACTGTGTCCCAAGGCAGCACCAGGAATACAATATTCTTCAACTGGCTTGTTGTTTAGCTGTCAGAAGGCTTTTTTTCTTTCTTTTTCTTCTCTGTGGTTTAAATGAGATGATTGTTTGCACACTGTGTCATTAAAGCAAGGCTTTGCTTGCGTCAACATCTATCTATTGTTCAGGACTCTTCATCAGAAAGTTCACAAAGTCCAGCCCTTTATTTGTTTTAGAACAAATGTCATCTGAAGAAATGTTACCATTGAACTGATCAAGTCTATATCAGCTTATGTAAAACAAATCAGACTCTGTATCACAATTCAGTTAAAATTAATCAATTTAATTTTAATAAAATCCCAATAAAACATTTACAAATGATCTAACTTAGTCTAGATCATAAAACAATATAGTAAAAGGGGGTTTATCCATTTATGGATGCCTCGTCTGTTGATTAAAGTTGTCAGGCTTTGCTGCAATCACTTGTCCTGAAGAGGAAACAGAAATGGCGAGAAACCTCCAGCAGAACCAGGTTCGGTTTGAGCAGCCTTCTGCTGCGACTGGAGAAGAGGTTAGAGCAGAGCAAAATAACAAAGCCAGTAGGGTTCTCAATGGGAGGAAAAACAAATGCATGGGGTCATAGTAAAGACAATGGCACCAAGAGCTGTTTGGGCAAAAGACTGAAAGAAGCGCTGAGCTAGTCCCTTCATTAGGGAATCATTAAGGCTACTTTCACACTGCAGCTTGAAGTGACCCAAATCCGAATTTTTTTATTTTTTGTTTGCCCATATGTGACCTGGTTCTGATCTTTTCATGGCTGTCTGAAAAACACGGATCTGATTTTTTTCCAACGCGACCCAGGCCGCCTGGCTATGTGGTCCTGAATCCAATACGAATCTGATCTTTTTAAATGCAACCTGTGTCTGAACGGCCAGGTGGAATTCATCCGACCTGAACGCCATTAATACCCAACAAAGATCACTATTCTGCTTCTTGCTATGAAGAAGCAGCAAGAAAAACAACAACCATGGCGGACGATGATGCGGAGAGCAGTATTTATGTTTAAACATCTTGAATAGATTGTGTTTTTATGGTTGGGAAAGATCACTAGATGCGCTCCGACACTACCATCCATGTTTACTTCTGTAAACACAGAGCGAGCTGGCCTGTGACGTCATTGCGTCCTCTACTGAGCATGCGGGACACTTGCGTTGTATGACTGCTGTTCACAAAGGAGATCACATACAAGTCGCATATTTTTGGAAATGTGAACGGCAACGCAAAAAAATCGGGTTTTCACAAAACAATCGGAATTGAGCTTTAAGACCTGCAGTGTGAACGTAGCCTAAGACAGGTGTATCCCGTCCGTGTAGAAATGAGATGTGCAGAAAGATGCTGTCAGCACATCTGCAGCATTTTACACTTGTGGTGGCTTTTACTTTACACAATATTCTGGCCAACTCTAGCCGGGAGTGTAGAGCACAGACCACAAGCTCACAACACCACACTACAAACTTGACATTTCTTTTCA